GTTGAGGGTGGGCGTAACCCACCATGGAACAGGCAATCTTGTTGTTACATGAGCTGAGCCATACTGCCACCGGTTGGCAGCTCAGTGACAGCTCAGCTTGGGCATAGCGTCACTGGCCCATGTGGGAATTGAACCTGTGACCCTGTTGCTCAGAGCTTGTGCTCTTAACCAGCTGAGCCACTCGGCCGGCCCTTACCGTATTTTCTTTAGAGTGATGCTCATAACTAGCTAGAAACATGTATAATATCTCCTATATTTATTATGGATCACTATTAAAGTAATCTGTGGAACTTGTAATATTTTGAGTATTGATAGTTATACTAAAACAATTATAAGAAAAACAAGTTTTGAAGTCAAAATAGTTTGTGTAGTACTTGGCCAAATAAGTTATGTTTATTTACTGTAACACTTCTCAGAAACTTTAATAGCCATTGTGTGTGGTGAACTTTCTAAACAGGAAGATTCTTCCAAACTTAACTGGGCTATGGAATTCTCTCTTCAGGGACTGACATATTAGGGAACAAATTTTGGGAAACAGCAAGTTGTTTCAAGTGAGTCATTCTTCATGGTTTTTTAAATTTATTTCCACATTTGCTTCTTCCTTTGCTGCAGCAAGTTTTGTAAGTAAAAGAAAGTGGTGTTAAGTCTTAAAAGATTTATATTTGGCAATGTATTTCCTGCTAGGAAGGCTATTGTTTTTTTTTAAGCAAGCCAACTTCAGAACTATAAGCTTTTTTTTTTTTTAAGCTTTTTATTGGGGGGATGGGAACAGCGCTGGGGAATCGGGGGAAGGGGAACAGACAAGTTGCTGTCGTTTTGTTCTTCAGTCTAGTTGTGGGCGACGTCACTTCACTGGCCCAAGTTGGCACCATCATTGCGCTCTTCCCGGGCAAGGCAAATCAATCGCTGGCTTCTGGACGGCCGCTCACTGCGGCTGCTGGCCGCTCACACTGGCTGCTGGCTACACACAGTAGCCCATGGCAACCCACTGCAGCAGGGGCTGCAGCCTACGCCGTCCCCGGCGACTCACGACAGCCCAGCTCCAGGTTGAGCTGTTGTTCAGCATCTTAGCTGTAGAGGGCAGTGTCACTGGCATTCATGTGGAATCCGAACCATGACCCTCTGGCATCCCAAACCAGCTCTTAACCAACGTGCCACTCGGCCGGCCCAAAAAAGGCACTATTTAAATATAAGCTTTTGCAAATAATAAGTATCATTCCTATCTTTTATTTTGTCATCTTTTGAGAGTGCTGTGCCTAAATTGGGAAGAACAATATGTGTACTCTTAACTCTGCATTTCTCTTTTAGGAAGCATATAGGATACTGTAAAGCAGGGACATGGTTTGATCTTTTCAGGTTAATTTTGTAACTGCATGAGAAAACCGATGGTTTGATTAATGTTTACTGAAGTGACTAGAAGCAAATCTGTACTAATCTCATGTTCAGTGTCATCAGGATGTGAGGTTATCCAGATAAGTGATTTTTCTAGACAATGGAAGCATATAATCTTAGGTAGCAAGATTTTAATGAAGATATCCTTTTACTGAGCATATGCAGCTTAAGTTAACTGTTTATTTTCAGTCTAAGTTTGGCATTATATTAAAATATCATGATGTCATAGGGGAGCTGTACCTGTGCTTGCCTCTTTCCCTTCTTCCCCCTTCTAAATTTGTGGGGGTTTTTTTATCCTTTATTATTTTAGAGATTAGAATTATGCCTAATATAGAAACATACATATGTAAGAAGAGTACCGTTTTATGAGTCACAGTCTTTGTGGCATTTATTTTGGCTATTTAGAGATTCTTTCAACTCTTGCCTGTTTCCTTCCCCTGCCTCACTGCCCTTGAGTTGTAATTGTTGGATAGGTGAGTTATGGAGAATTGAGGCTTTTTTTTCTTACGATGTTAAAGATGTACTTTTATTCCATGTTATAGGGGAAACTGGGTATTTGCTATATAGTATTGCAATACAATAGTTGTTACCTAATAAAGAAGTATTTATTTTTTTTGTGGAAAGTGTGTGGATTATATTCTTTTAACAGTTTAAGTGCCATCTATATATTTCATTAAGAGGTATATACTTTTTGAATTTGAATAAATTGTTACATGTAAGTTCCCATGTTTAAGATATTAATGGTTCCAGCTGATTTAGTATATGTTTGAATTATTAAGCTAGAAAGTTGTGTTAAATGTATATAATTAAAGGTTATATAACAGTGTATTTAAAAATTCAAATTAGTTTCACAAACTCAGATTTTGATGGCTCCAATTTAATTTAAAAAATTTCATTCTAAGTTTAAATATATTTGTATTCAACCTATTGGGTTATCAGTATTATCTTGAATATCTAGAGAATAGATATATTGTTATTATAGTTATTGTTATTAGAGAAATTGCTGTATTTTAAACATGATAGCTAAATTATACATAGTTTTTAATAAAGACCATACTTTCTAGTGGAATTTACCTCTGGTTTTCATAGTGGATAAACAGGATGTACTTTACAGCCTTAGCACATTTTACTGAAAAGGTAGAGAGACCTGTACTTTTATTAGAGCAAATTGTATATGTAAGTGAATTTTACATATATGTATTTTGCCATGAGATGACAAGAACTAACTATAAAGATTCAAATACAATTTTTAAGATTATAATCTAAGTAGTAGGGTCTATGTTATTTTACTCTTTAAAATTCAGTTTCTCCCAAATATCCTTTGCAATATTTATGAATTTTATTAGGACCATACTTTACAAAATTATCAAAAAATATAGCCTCGGGAGGCTGGCCGAGTGGCACGTTGGTTAAGAGCTGGCTTGGGATGCCAGCTCTGAGCAGCAGGGCCCCGGTTTGGATCCCACATGAGGGCCAGTGACACTGCCCTCTACAGCTAGGATGGTGAACAACAGCTCAACCTGGAGCTGGGCTGCCGTGAGTCACCAGTGATGGCATAGGCTGCAGTGAAGCTGTGGAGGGCTGCCATAAGCTACTATGAGTGGCTGGCAGCCAGCTTGAGCTGCCAAGAGCTGTCGTGAGCGGCCATCCAGAGGCCGGCGACCGATCTGCCTCACCCGGGAAGAGCTCAGGAATAATACCAACATGGGCCAGTGAAGCAACATCCTCCACAACTAGACTGAAGAACAAAAGGACAGCAACTTGTCTGTTCCCCTTTCCCCGATTCCCCAGCGTTGTTCCCCTCCCCGAATTCCCCAATAAAATCTTTCAAAAAATATATATATATATAGCTTCGGGGTGGCCGGTTAGCTCAGTTGATTAGAGCACAGTGCTCATAACACCAAGGTTGCCGGTTCGATCCCCACATGGGCCACTGAGTTGCGCCCTCCACAACTAGATTGACACAACTACTTAACTTGGAGCTGATGGGTCCTGGAAAAACACACTGTTCCCCAATAAAAAATAAATAAATAAATAAAAAGATATAGCCTTCTTTTAGGTAGCCCCAAAATAGACATAGGAGGAGAAGAAAAATCAAATTTGTCTTAATTTGTGTAATGTATTATGTTAAAGTTTTTAATATTTAGGTTTCTATTATTTAGACATGTGTTTCATTTTATTTTTAAAGAAAGAACAATGTTTATAAATTGGAAATTAATGTAAACATGTAATTTAAATGAAATGACATGACTAGGTCAGTAATATTCTCTTCAATCAATGAAATCATCATTCTAACCTCAGTTAACATCTAGTTAAATCAAAGTTAGTAAACTACTTAAGTTATAAGATAAAACATATTATTTGTCTTTAATATTAACCATCCAAGAAGCTTTACCATTTTTTGTTACTAAATGATACATGTTTTTACTTAACATTTAATCACAAAAATTTTACTGTAAGAGGACTGAGTATTTGTTGTTAATTAGCTCTGGTTTTCCGATTATTAATTGTATCTGTCTCTTCTCTATAGTTTAATAATATTATAGTAGGGTTTTTTATTTTGTTTTTTCAAACTGGGATAGACAGACAAACTGAGACAATTTGCTCTCCCTAAATTTAGTGGCCACAAAGGTTAATCCAGATAAAAAGATAATTAGGATTTAGCTTAAAGCTTGTTTATGTCAAGAAGTTGTTTTACTTAAAAAGACTTGTTTACTAATGTTAATATGTGAACAGGCATAGGTTTCTTTGCAGGATTTAAACGTACTTGTGAAAATTCAGGTATAAATGATTCTTGAAGTATAGGCTATTTTATTTTGGTTGATATTTGCCAGCACTCTGCAGGTGGCTTTATATAATTAAGTTTTATTCAGCAATCTGAGGAAAATCATTCCAGTTAAAGAAACTAAAACTCAAGGAACTTAAGTGATTTCTGAAGGTCACATTGTTGGTAGATATCAAAGGTAGATTTGGGACCTAGGACACCTATCTCTAGTAGTTTCTCCGTCTCAAGCAGTTTTTCATTCGAGTTAGAAATGTAAATTGAGTCCTAATTAATATGGTAAGATCTAGAAGAGAAGATCATTCCTGATGGCCTTTTAGATGTACAAACCCTTAGTGATGGTTAAATGTAACGTTTTCAGTGTGCACTTTTGAAAATTCTGATAAAAAGATATGAACCATTTAGGGAAATACAAGTACATGAACTTTTGAATATAATTTCAGTGGCATTATTGATTACATAGTGAACTCATGTATTATATGAAGTTATAATCAGTTGTCTAGAATTATGTTGTTTATCTCAACTGTTTTCATAAGCCATGTGTAGGAATAGCTAGAGAAGTGAAAATGTTGGGTTGTCGGAAAAGTCATGACGCATTTTTGCAATGAAAAACATAGAACCAATATGCCATGACTTTCTGACAACCCAATAGCTTGATTTAGTGCAGATTTTTTTAATGCCTTTTTTTTTTAATCTGTTTTTAAAGGCTTTTTGTTTTGTTTTGCTTGCCTCACATATTCTCATTCTTGGACAATATATTTAGTGTTACACAATGATAGCAAGAATTATTTTATGTGTAACTTTTAATTAATTCCATATCCTTCAGGTAAAAAGAACGTATTCTCATGGTACTTACAGAGCTGGCCCAATGAGACAAATCAGCTTGGTGGGAGCAGTTGATGAAGAAGTGGGAGATTACTTCCCTGAGTTCCTTGACATGTTGGAAGATTCACCATTTTTAAAAGTAAGAGAAAACAGTATCAAGCATTCTAAATTGTGGGTGTTACTTTCATGCTACAGGTGATAGAGATGGCTGTTTCAGAATTATAAAAATTGTTATTTCATTTGAATTGGAGGGAAGGAAAGGAAGAGATGAGAGAAACTAAAAGTAAATTCTAGTGTAGTGTGTGTTAAAGACTTCTCCCATACTAATTATAATGGCAAAGCTTTGGTGGTGGACCAGAAAGTGACACTTGCCTGTGGCTGGCACTTTAGGAAATCTGTTTATTATCAACTGAGTACCAGAGGATTTAAGAAGTACAGGAAGGAATCATTATGTTGTTTTGTATACCAGAAACTAATAAAAAAAAAATACAGGAAGGATGTCTACTAAATGAAAGTGCTTAGGAGAAGGAAATGGCAATTTGGCATTGTGGAAAACTGGCCTGGGAAATCGTACATCTGTATTTCTTGGCTATACTGAGGTGTGTTGGGAAAGCCATTTAAACTTTCTGGGCTTCAGTTTCCTCATCCATAAAGTATGGCATTTAAACTATGTTGTTTTAAGGCCCCTTTAACTTCTTTAAATGATTTCTAGCTAGATTTCTTTTTTTCTTTTTCAACAGTCTCTGCATTTCAGAAAATATTTAATTCTTGTGGGCTGCTGGGGCTGTCCCATTGAGAGAGTATGTAGTTAGGTTAATTATTTAATTAGTAATTTGAAGGTCAGGATGTGACAAGATCAGTATATCACTATTTGCCCCTTAATCTGTTGAACACTTCTTTTTTCACTTCCGCTTGCTCAGTTTTCTTGTGTGTGTGTGTGTGTGTGTGTGTGTGTGTGTGTGTGTGTGTCTTTTTTTCCCCCATTCCATTCCCCCTTTCTTTTCCTTTTTTATTCTTTGAAACTTATTGTTGCTTTTCTGTTTCTCCCAACTAGAGACATCATAGAATCTGATTGAATTTATTTTGAGTAGTATTTTAAAAATATCATTATTTAAATAATTATGTTTCAGATATTAATTTTAAAAGCAAATGAGCTAGGGGCGGCCGTTTAGGTCAGTTGGTTGGAGCGCAGTGCTCACAACACCAAGATTGCCGGTTTGATCCCCACATGGGCCTCTGAGCTGCGCCCTCCACAACTAGATTGAAGACAACTACTCTCGACTTGGTGTCGAGCTGATGGGTCCTGGAAAAACACACTGTTCCCCAATTTAAAACAAAAAAAAAAGCAAATGAGCTAAATACATTTTTTTCTAGAGAAATTCAATTTGACAATTCTCCCCTTTTTGAAAAGGGGATTTGGAATGAATGGTATTTTAAAAATTCCATTCCATGGATCCTTAGTTCTCTCTTTTTTCAAAGATTTTAATTTCTGCTTTTAGACCGGCAGTCTCTTCAAGCAGGTACTAAACAGAAATAAATTTTGATTTTGGTTTAATTTTCCTTTTTGTTTTATTAGGTTTTGATTAGAGTATCTGTTTTTTTTTTTGAGATAGCCATTTTTTTAAACTTAATCATTCATTTTTATAGATCCTTATAGAGAACACTTGCTTATTTTGCCAACTTATTAACATCATATATTTGGTAGAAGGAAGAATCAAATGATGAATATAGTGAATCATATTTTTGGCAGTGTTGGGGGAGGGAATCATCTAAAATAATTATTCTATTAATGTGTTTGAAATAGAATTTTTTGATGGACAATATATGAGTATATAGGGATACGTTCAATATAGGTATATATTTCAAATGTATAAGTATAAAGGTATATGAAAGTTTGTCAAGGGGCAGTATTCTTTAATGGATATTTAAAGTTACATTTTGAAAATAATTGATTTCTATGTAATTATTTGCTTCTAGTGTACACTGCCATGGGGGACACTATCTAGTCTAAAATTGGAGAGTCGAAAAGATAGTGATGACGGTCCCATCATGTGGGTACGCCCAGGAGAGCAAATGATCCCTGTGGCTGATATGCCAAAGTCACCTTTCAAAAGGAAAAGGTATGTTGGATACAAATTTTTATTGCCAGGATGGGTGTTTGTATGTTGGGAGGTGTGTGTGTGTTAGTTGAAAATTGGAGGAAGGAGGGGAAAGTCTAAGGCATAATTGGAATGTAAATTCAAAAATGGCTACACGTGCTGATGCAGTTTTTAAAAAAAATCCAAATATAAATAAGACCTGAGAAATGTAGGCAGATGACAATAAGTTGTAATTAAGAATGGAAAAAAAATGTCATTCACAACAGAAACCTTATATAAACTATTTGGAATAAATTTAATCAGAAATATTCAGAACCCATATTAAGAAAACCAAAACATCTTATAGAGGATGTAAAATAAGACCTAAACAAATAGAAAACCCTACTGTGTTCTGGATTGTATAAAAATGATAGTGCTTTGAACCTTTTAGCATTTCAATTGGACTCATACTTCTAGCATTGGATAAAATGATTTTAAAGTTCATAAGGAAGAGTAAATAAAGCCAGCAAATAGCCAAGAAAATTCTGAAAGATAAGTGAAGGGGACCCTGTGTTATTAGATAATAAAAATTATAAAGCTCAAAAAGATCATTGGAATAGGATCGAGTACACAAATAGATCTGAGTATATTGGGAACTTAATATATGAGATAGGTGAGAAAAGGAAGATTTATTTAATGAATGCTGGTATAATTGGCAGTCCATGTGAAAGAAAACAAAGCTATTGCCCTTATCTGTTACAAGAATTAAATTTGAGATTTAAACATAATAAGATAAAAAATAAAAATATTAAAATAAAAATTTTCGAGCCTCGGGGAGACCTTCCTCAGCAAGATAAAACAGTATAATGCCAACAGTATTTGAGAGAAAAGACAACAGCGAAGTTCACAACTGTACTGTGATAGACTTGACCAAAACATTTGTAATATTAGACACACTGAAGTTAATATACAAAGAGCATTTCCAAATGGACAAGATAAATGTAAAACAATCCAATAGGAAAATAGGCCTCAGGCAGTCAAGTGTGTATTAAAAGATTTATGAGATATTATTTTTACCCATTACATTGGCAAAAATTATTAATAGAGCAGTAATAGTACAGGCTGTTACGTATATGCGGAAACAGGGTCATTTATATATTGCTGGTAGAAGGGTGAGCTGCTATAATCATTTTGTGAAAGTAATCCAGCAGTAGCTCATAAAGTTTAACATACGCATATATACTTTGATCCAGCACCCCTACTTTTGTAATCTGTCCCAAGAAATAAAACCACTAAAGGTAAATGCATACGAATGTTAATTGCAGCATTATTTGTAGTGAGAAAAAAGTTTAAAATGATCTGAATGCCCATTAATAGGGGAATGGTTGACTACATTTTGATATATCCTATTAAAGATTATGGTGAAATAGTTAAAATAAATGAATTATTTATGTTTGTTGATCTGGAAGGGTTTCCATGACACTTGAAAAGAGCAAAATGTAGAGTAATATGTCCAGTATGATTCGTTTTTTTTCTGAGAAGAAATGAAAAAATATGTATAAGTGTATATTTATGTGAGCACAGAGAAAAGTGTGAAAAAATGTATACTAGGTTAACATTGGTGGGAATGGAGTGGGTGATGCTGGGGGAGATAATATCTCTTTCTTAGATACCTAAAGATGGTTTCACTGTTTCTAGTGATTATTAATTAAAAAAAAAAAAGACAGGGAACAGTGGTCATTGAGTAAACTGTAGGTTGCATGAGGCAGGGACTGTTGTCCTTGTTTCTAATGTGTCCTTAGCACCTAAATCAACAGTGCCTAGTGCTTAGTAGGTTTTTATTGGTGGAATTAAATTTTTATAAGTTAATTTATAAGTTGGTAGTAGATGGTAAAATTGGTATGTTTCTTAGTGGTTCTTAACTTGGATTTATAAATTATTTTGAGCATCTGAACGCATCTCCCCAGAACAGTGCCAGATGTACATGTAATTTAAGGGAGTTCAGCAGTCCCTTAAGGAACTCGCCTGCACTTCAGAGATTACAGTCGGGGTGTGTGTGATAATTGCACATCACATTACAGTCTGACCAAACTAATAACAACACTGCCCCAGGCACTGTGCCAAGTACTTTGTATAAAATCTTAATTCATTAAAATGTGGTGTTAATGAGACAAAACTTGTGGTCTTGAAAGTCTGTTAGCTTTCCATAGGAAGCAACATCATCATGTAGCTTTCTGACACCTGTGGAACATTAATCACAAAGAGCAAAAAAGTTGTTAGAGCACCGTGTGTGTGTGTGTGTGTGTGTGTGTGTGTGTGTATGCGTATGCGCAATAAGTGTGACACAGGAGTGCACAGAGAGCAGTAAGTGATAGAGTTAGGGTGGGAAATTAGAGAACTAATAAGAAAGAGTGGCCGTAGGGAATAGACTAGAATGAGAGGAGAAAATTATGGGGTGATCCAGATTTGTCTTTTGAAGTAACAGAAAAATCAAACAGGAAGATAAATAAGATGATGACTCCCAGTCACAGACATTCTTCTCACCCTTTCCCTCTGCTACAGCAAAACTGGAGAGGGTTTCTGCAGTGAGTGAGGCTAAGTAGTCAGTAGCTTTTGTATGCATGTGGATTCTAGACCGTGAGCAGTGGAGGAGAAGGCCAGTGGGAGATGGCTGTCCTCAAAGAAGGAGCTAAGGTTTTTCCTTCCTGCCTCCAATAAACCACTGTTTTGTGGAAGCAATTATGCCTGGTATTTTCTTGCTTTTTTTTTTGGTCGTCTTCTCACTAGAGTATAAACTCCCACAAGAGTAGGGAACTTGTCTGTCTTATTAACTACCGTCTTGTTCACTAGCTCCAGTGCCTAGATAATACCTGGCATATGGCAGGTGTTCTATAAATATTAAATTAATGCATTTTTTATTTTATTATTTTTTTAAAGATTTTATTGGGGAATGGGAACAGCGCTGGGAAATCGGGGGAAGGGGAACAGAAAAGTTGCTATCGTTTTTGTTCTTCAGTCTAGTTGTGCAGAGTGTTGCTTCACTGGCCCATGTTGGTATTATCATTGCGCTCTTCCCAGGTGAAGCAGATCGGTTGCCGGCCTCTGGATGGCCACTCACATCGGCTGCCAGCCGCTCACGCTGGCTGCCAGCCACACATGGTAGCTTACAGCAGCCCACCGCAGCAGGGGCTGCAGCCTACGCTGTCACCGGCGACTCACGGCAGCCCAGCTCCAGGTCGAGCTGTTGTTCACCATCTTAGCTGTAGAGGGCAGTGTCACTGGCCTCCGTGTGGGATCCAAACCGGGGCCCTGTTGCTCAGAGCTGGAGTCCAAAGCCAGCTCTTAACCAATGCGCCACTTGGCTGGCCCAAATTAATGCATTTTTTTAAAGTTACCTGTTTGTGCCTGATATATACCTGTGTTAGCCATGTGACATTGGGGGCATGCTTCTACAGATTAGACCCAAACCTCAGGTAGAGATTCTGGATACAGGGAAACCTAGGTAGACCACACCACCTGTAATTTAGTTTGTTATCTAAGTGTACATTGACTTAAAACTGCCACTTTTATGAAGGGTGTTAGTTAAGAAAAGGAGTGGATTATATATGTGTTCTTGTTTGTACTTGTTCATTTTAAAAATAAAACTTGATTTGGGAACAGGTGATTTAAAATTTCCTTTAGTCTGAATTATATGATTACTAAATGCTTAATAGCAGTAAACCTCCGTACATTAATACGAATGTGTGAGGGCAATTGAAGCTTATCTCCCTGCTGCTCTCTCTCCTGTCCTTCTCTCTCTCTCTCTCTCTCTCTCTCTCTCTCTCTCTCTCTCTCTCTCTAAAAGATGTATGGGAGCTCCAGTGGGGCAATCGGTTAGCCCGCGGTACTTATAGAAAACATATATAAAACATAAATGTAATTTTTTTAAACAGAACTACCAATGAAATAAAAAACCTGCAGTACCTACCTCGAACTAGTGAGCCCCGTGAGATGCTCTTTGAAGACAGGACAAGAGCTCATGCAGATCATATAGGACAAGGTTTCGAACGACAGACTACAGCTGCTGTTGGAGTGTTGAAGGCTGTGCACTGTGGAGAGTGGTATATATTAACTACTGTTACTTTAATGAAAGCTTTTCTTAGCCTCTGAATTTTTTCTTGGGAAGTTTCTCAGTAATTCTCCTTACTGTGGGGAAAAAAGTCTCATTTTTCCCTGTATTTGAATATTGTGATTGTGTCACTGCACTAAAGAAAATTTTCAATTGCTAGAATCTAGTTTTAGTCTTTTGGGTTTGACTAAAATAATTTTATTTTCTAAGTGACTAGAGGTGAAAACAAAAACTAAGATTCACTTGATGCTTACTGAATGCCCATTTACAAATGTTCATTTAATTTTCTCTTCTACTTTTAGGCCCATATTTATCACACAAGGAAACTGAGGATCAGGGTTGTTAAATAAAATTCTTATAATTAAATAGTTAATAAATGGTAGAGCTGAGTCTGATTTCAGGTCTGACTCCAGACTTGTGTTTTCTCTTTATACTGTTCTACCTTGCTGCTCCCTACTAAGGTTTGGTATCTATTTAGTGTTTGTTCACCTTACTATATTAATTTTTTTTCCAGCTTCACTTTCAAGTTTCACTTTGAATCTTTTCATAGATTAAAAAAATGGACAATCCTCTTTAATATTCTAAAGGTATCATCCCATACATTCAGAAATTTTCCATTTATTAAATGGATAAAAAAACATAGCAAAGCTATATTGATACAGTAAGATAAGTGCTCAGTTAGGCTTTTGTTTCAAACTGAGAATTGTTTGAATATGCTGTTTTACTTATTAAAGCAGTTGAATTAGATATTAAATATGCAAGAACATTTTCTAAGTGAAAAGAAACTTTAACTCTGAAAATATAAAATGTCAATATTGCAGTTTTGTAAGATTTTATAAAAATATAACCTGTATTTTTTACATGAGGAAGTTTTATTTTCAAGGGCTACTAATATAGACTTGACCCTTTGTTCAGAAGGGAAAATTTATTACTATAATTTTTAAAAATAAATATTTTATATATTATTTTAAAAATATTTTATAAATCAACACTGAGTGGGGAGGCCAGTGTTAACACTGAGTGGGGAGGCCACCTTTTTAACATAAATGAAACTTTATCAATTTCAAGCATGCAATGGAGCTAGTACTGAACTACCCTATCTTAAGAGAGCCTTAGGAAAACAATATAAATTGTTTATAATTCAATAATAATTTACACTTGAATTGTGTTTTAGTTAAATGGTAATTTTCAAATATCTGTGGTTATTCTTACATAGTTTTTGTGTTCTTCCTATAATCTGATTTAAAACTAATTTTATTAAAGAGTAAAGGCTAATTTATCTCTGGAAATCATTACAAACTATTTCAAATTAATGAGGTTTCTCTTGAATGTTTGGTATAAAGGAGTTAAGAGTGACATCAAGATTTACTTAGGGTGAAATCTGATTTATAGATAGTGTTCAATAAGGTTAGCCACATTTCCACTTTCTTTCAGATAAATATTTCTGCTTCATGGCCTTAGCACTTTGTTTAAATCTCTTTTAAGCTTCTTCAAATTATTGTTGGTGTATATTCTCTCCTCCATTTTATGTGCAATTTGAGATAAGAAATTGTGTCTTGTCCTTCAGGGACCCATCATAGTTCCCAATAAATATTTATTGATTAGAAAAACACTTTTGTGGCTAGCAGTTTTATAGAGAAAGGGACTATTGCCAAACTGCTAATATGTTAGGTGGCCAAATTTAAGAATATTCTTATTAGATATTGCTAGCTATGAGTTTTCCCACTATTGTAAAATACAGTTTGCTTCCTATACCAATCTGCTTTAATTACTAAAGCAAGAAAATAAATTTGTTAGTGCTATAAGAGGGCTTCATGACTCTGATGCAAATGTGGTTTATAATCCCTTTATTATTCCTTGGTGTTAAATTAAGCTATGCTAAGGAAGTTGATGCTTTCTTATTTTCCTTAGTGTTTTGAATTCTGCTTTTTCTCTAGAAGATTTTAGGGATTTGAGTATTAGATTCTTGCCATGTCTTATAGCCAGACAGCACCAGTTTGAAATTAAAAAACTGGGATTGATTTAGACTTCATAGAAATCTTCAGTTAGATAGGCTTGTGAAGCATTGATCAAATTATATCACTCTTTAGGTATTATGAAGAAAGGATTCATATAGATTTATATATTTGAGGTTGCTTCTTTGAAATCCAGTTTTTTGGAAAAATCAACTATTGAAGTATAATTTACGTTTAATAACACATACTCATTATAAGTATACAGTTTGATGTGTTTTGACAACTGTATATAGCCATGTTACCACTACCACAACTAAGGTAATAGAACATTTTGTTTCTCTTATACCCTTGGTAGTTAATCCCCATCCTTACCCCAGATCCAGACATCTATTAATCTGTTTTGTTTTTTTTGTCTTCATAGGTTAGTATTGCTTAGTCTAGGATCTCATGTAAATACAATCATACATGTTGCCTGACTTCTTTCTCAGCATGTTTTTGAGATTCATCTATGTTGTTTATGTACATCTATGTACATAGATGTACATTCTTTCTTGTTGCTGAGTGGTATGTCGTTGTATGGATATATCACAATTTATTCATTCACCTGATGATAGACATTTGAGTTATTTCCAGTTTTGGGTTTTTATGAATAAAGCTGTTATGAACATTCACTTACAAGCCTTGTGTGCACATATGATTTCATTTCATTTCAATAAATACATAGAAATGGAATTACAGGGTGTTAGAGTAAGGCAAAATAATTGTGCACAGAGAGAATTTTAAGTCTACAAAAGAAGTACTAGAATTACTAAAAGTCTCAGGGTACGACAATATTGAAAAGTCAACTGTATTTCTATATATTATCAATAAACACTTGGAAAATGTAATAGAAAAAAATAATGTCACCATAGCATAAAAAAACTGAAATAGAGATAAATTTTGAAAATAAATGACAAATACTGAAAACTATAAAATACTAATGAGAAAATTAAAGACTTACATAAATGTAGAAATATACCTTGTTTATAGACTGTAAGACTCGATATTATTATGTCAGTTCTTTCCCAAATGATCTATATAAATCAGCTCAATCCCAATCAAAATCCAACTACGTTTTCTTATAGAAATACGAAGAACCTACTATAGGCAAACAGCCTTGGGGAAAAAAAACCACAAAACAATGGTGGAGGATTTATATTGCACTGCCTGTCATTTTAAAGCTTACTTTGAAGCAACAGTAATTAACAGAGGGTGGTATTGGTATACACATAAACTTTAAGATTAATAGAACAGAATAGTGTCTAGAAATAGACCCATTTGATTTTCAGTGACGGTTCCAAGATAATTCAGTGAGGAAAGGAGTCTTTTCAAGACATGGTGCTGGTACAACAGGGTATCCATAAACAAAAACAAAAATTAGAAACAATGAACCTTAACTCTGATTTCACACCATATAGAATAATTAAAATGGATCATAGAACTAAATATAACCATTAAAACCATAAAATTTGTAGAAGAAAACATCGGAGGAAATTTTGCATTAGGCAAAAATTTCATGAACCACAGAAGAAAATGATACCATTAAGATAATGAAAAGGCAGGCTACAGACTAGGAGAAAATATTTGAGGTGTGCATGTGTGTGCATATGTGTATGAATGTATCCAATTATATAAAGAACTCTTAGAATCCAAGAAGAAAATAATCCAGTTAAAATTGGGCAAAATATTTGAACAGACATTTTACAAAAAATAAATGGCCAATAAATAAGTACATTAAAAGTTGTTCAATATAACTTTTTAAGGGAAATGCAAATAAAAACCACAGTGAGATAGCACCACATACCCACTAAAATTGCTAATAATAATAAGTTTTTAAAAGACCATACCAAAAGTTAGTGAAGATGTGGATTAACCAGAACTTTCATTCACGGCTCTGGAAACAGTAGAAAAGTTTGGCAGTTTCTTATAAAATGAAACATACACTTACTTACTCCTAGGACCCTGTAATTCCATAATTCCATGTGTTCCTGGGATTAAAGATCCCTCTTGGTTTTTGTGTATTATTATATGTATCGTATCTATATTTTGATTACATATATATATATATATATATATATATATATATATATATATGGAATAACCAAGAGAGGTATGTGTGTGTATCTGAAATATACATGATTTTATACATGATTATATATGGTATATATATGTGATATCATAAATATTTATGATAATACACTAAATAGTGCTGATTCAATTTGTTAATATTACGTGAATTTTGTGTTTATAGTAATGTCTTGACAGAATTTACTAATTGTATTGATCCTTTCAACAAATCAGCCATTTATTTTATGGATTTTTTTTTTGTATTGTTTTCCTGGTTTCTATTTCATTATATCTGCTCTTTATTATTTTAAGGGAAGAACTTACTCTTCTCTTTCTAGTTTAAGTTAGAAACTTAGATTATTGATTTGAGACCTTTTCTGATATAAGTATTTAAAACTAAATTTCTAAGTACTACATTAGCTATATTCTACAAATGTTGATACTGTTTTCATTATATACAGTTCAGAATTTTTCTAATTTCCTGTTTGGTGTTTTTTTGTTTGTTTGTTTTTTAAATCATGGGTTATTGAGAAGAATGTTTACTTTTCAATATGTGAGAATTTTTCCAGGGTTTTTGGGGGTGTTCTTGATTTTAAGTTTAATTCCCTTGTGGTCAGAGAAAATGCTCTGTATAAGTATTCTTTTTTAATTTCCTGAGGTTGGTTTTATGGACGATCTTGATGAATGTTCTGTGTGCACTTAAAAGGATGTATATTCAGCTGCTGTTGGGGATATAGTGCCCTATTAAAAGCCAATTAAGTCAACTTTATTGATAGTATGGTGCAAATCTTCTATCTTCTTCTGTATCCCACTGTAACATTGGATTTGATTGTTTTTCCTTTCAGTTTTGCTAGATTTTTTTTTTTCTCCGTGGATTGTTCTTTGGTAACACCTTTATTGGGATGTAATTCATGTAACATACAATTCACCCACTTAAAGTGTATATAATTCAGTGGTTTTTAGTTTATTCAGAGTTTTGCAACCATCACCACAATTATAGAATATTTTCATCACCTCAAAAAGAGATACACCTTGTTTATGGATTGGATTTTTTTAGCTAGTACTCTTTAGTCCTACATCCTCTTCATTCTGGGCAACCGTCAATCTACTGTATGTCTCTCTATATTTGTGTATTCCAGATATTTCATATAAATGGAATGATATGTGGTCTTTTGTGATTAGCTTCTTTCCTTTAGCATGTTTTCAACATTGTTCATATATTTTGACGTTCTGTTAATAGGTAGCTACACATGTAGAATTATTATTTCTTCTTGATGAATTGACATCTTTATCATTATAAAATACCCTTTTATCCTTGGTGTAACTAACTTCTTTGTCCTGAAATCACTTTGTCTAATATTAATATAGCTATTCTAGTTTTCTTATGATTAGTGTTTCCATGTTATAGCTTTTACCATTCTTTGTTTTTTCACTTGTGTCTATATTATTGTGTCATATAAATACCATATATTTTGCTTTGAATCTTGTTTTTTTTTAAATTACAGTGATAATCTTTGTCTTTTAACTGGAGTATTTAGACCACTTATATATAAGTGGTCTGTCAGTAAATTTGGATTTATATTTACCATCTTACTTTTTCTTATTTGCCTCTTATGTTATTTTTTTCCTTTTTCCCATTTTTCTTTCTTGTCTTTTTTAGCATTCCGTTATACCGCCACTATTTGCTTATTAGTGGTTGCTCTAAAGTTATCACAGTCAGCCTTCAATTAATATTATACCTCTTCGTGTAATGTGCAAGAACCTTTAATAGTATACTGCCATTTATCCCCCCCACCCTATTTCTAACCTTTATGCTAATTGTTGTCATACATTTACTTAACATATGCTATAACCCCCGCTCCCATATGCTACTTTAGCTATAAAGAATTATTTCTAGGGCCGGCCGAGTGGCTCAGTTGGTTAAGAGCTCGCTCAAGAGTTTGAGCTCTGAGCAACAGTGGTTCGAGTCCTGGCCCGAGCTGAGCAGCCGCTGAGCTGCCAACAGGTGGCAGGATGGCTCAGCTAGAAAAAAAAAAGGGAAAAAAAAAGGAAAGAATTATTTCTAAAAGACTTTTAAAATGAGAATAAAATGCCTTTCATATTTACTATTACTTGTGCTCTATAATCCTTTGACTAGATCTACATTTTCATCTAAGTATCATTTTTCTTCAGTCTGAAGATATTCCTTTAACATTTTTTGTTGTGCTAGTCATCTGGTGACAGATTCTCTCAGCTTTTGTTTGTCTGAAAATGTTATTATTTCACATTTTTGAAAGGTATTTTTGGTGGACGTAGAACTCTAGATTGACTTTTTCTTCCAATACTTTAAACATATTGGGTTGTCAGAAAAGTCATGATGTATTTTGTTTATATTTTTCAAAGGTCATTTATATAAAGAACAAAGATCAATCAATGATATATTGCCCGTTTTGTTCGGTAACCTTTTGCCATCTTTCAGTGAACTTCGTAATTCTTCATTCATATAAGGACCTGTTTTTATTTGAGAAAAACTGAACAAGGTGCTGATGTTACAGCCTCATCTGAATTGAACGTTATACCATGCAAGGAGTTTTGAAGAGAGCGAAACAAGTGAAGTGTGACAGTGCAAGGTCAGGCGAGTATGATGGGTGTGGCAACATATCCCATCCAAGCTCCAATAATTTTTGACGGGTGATCAGACTTGTGTGTGGTCTTGCATTGTTGCGATGGAACACAACTCCTTTACAATTTACAAGCTCTGGACGTTTCTGGATGATGGATTCGTTCAAACTGTCCAATTGCCGACAGTACACATTAGAATTGTTTGATTCCTTGGTAGGAGCTTGAAAAACATGACACCTTTAAAATCCCACCACACTGAGAGCATAACCTTCCTCTGATGAATGTCTGCTTTCGATGTCGTTTGAGGTGAATCATCACGTCCGGATCAAGACCGTTTGTGCACCACATTGTTGTAAACAATCCACATCTCATCACCAGTTATCAGTAGCTTCAAAAAGGGATTGTTTTCCTCACGTTTAATTAGCATATTGCAGATGTTTGTACATGCTGTCAAATGAACTTCTTTGAGTTCATGCAGAACCCAAATATCGAGCTTGCTTACGTATCCCAGCTTCAGGTGGTCATGAACACTTGAATGATGGATGTTCAATGTTTCTAGAATCTCTTGTGTCATGTAACATGGGTTTGACTCGATCAGTGCCTTTATTTTGTCGTCATCAACCTCGGTGGGACTCCCTGACCCAGGAGTGTTGTTGAGATCAAAATCACCAGCATGGAATTTTGTGAACCATCGTTGGCATTGACGTTCTTGTAGAGCATTGTCACCATAAACTTGATGCAACTTTTCACAAGCTTGATGCACGTTCTTCCCTTTATAGAAGTAAATCAGTAAAATATGGCGAAAATGCACAGTTTGGTTTTCCATCTTCAGCTTGTTGTAATATCTCCAAAACTCAACCAAATCGCTCAATTTCTTTTTAGAATGAAGCTAGAACTGTCAGCTGTCAAATGACATACCAACAACATAGATGCGAATGACTCTAGTACTTCCAAAAATGAACTAGTGCCATCTGTTGCAAACATGCATCATGACTTTTCCGACAACCCAGTAGTCTATTCTCTCCTGGCTTGCGTGGTCTCTGATGACAAGCCTGTAATCAATCATTCTTATCCTTCTTTTTCTGTATATTAATGTAATGCAGGAGTTTTGGATTTTTCTCTTTATCACTGTTTTTAAAGATTAGTTATGATTTGCTTTGGTATGATTTTTCTTTTTTTTTTTTTGGTATTTAGTTGCTTGGAATTTCATTTCAAAATCAATTTTTGAGTATCCTCTGTAAAAATGTATTTGTATATTCCTAATTAATTGAAGAATTTGGGATATTTTTAGAATTATATTTAAAGAGAAGCAAACAGAGTGGTAAAAGTTTATTTTGTTACGTGTTTTGTATTAACCCCAGCAAACAGAATGATGCCAGTTTATTTTATTAGTACTTTTTAAATGAATGTCTCTTAATTTTTTAAGAGTTACTTAGGGGTTTTTACATATCATTGCAGTTATATATGTCTTTATTGCAAGAAAGTATTCTCTTCCTCTCTATTTAACTCTAATTTTTATGTAGTATTTTCAACTTTGGCACTTAATTTGTTGAAGTATTGACCTTAACTTTAAAATAGAACACTTCATTTTTTTGTTTGCATAATGACACAATTCAAATCATTTTAACTTTTCAAAATATGGTTACCACATAGGTATAATAAAATTAGGTGAGTTTTTATCTGTTTAGGTCTTAACTCATGGCATTATACCTTTGTTTAAATATGAAAAGTGGTCTTCTAAAACTTTATTTCTAAAACAATACTTTGGTTTTGACTGTAAATTATTTTTGCTTTGAATTTAATGGGACTTAACAGAATGACTTATTAATGACAGGTTCTTCCTTATCTCATGTTTATTCTTTTTTAGGCCTGATCAACCACGAATAACCAAAGATGTGATTTGTTTTCATGCTGAAGATTTCTTAGAAGTAGTTCAACGAATGCAGTTAGATTTACATGAACCTCCACTGTCACAGGTATATTTTAAACTGTTATTGTCTTCAGTTTAATTTTTATTGTGGAGAAGACTTATTCCTTGTTTCTTTTTTTAGTGTGTCCAATGGGTCGATGATGCAAAACTTAATCAACTGAGGAGGGAAGGCATTCGCTATGCCAGGATTCAGCTGTATGATAATGACATTTATTTTATTCCAAGGAATGTTGTTCATCAGTTTAAGACAGTCTCAGCTGTATGCAGTTTAGCATGGCACGTTCGGCTCAAGTTATACCACTCAGAGGAGGACACTGCTCAGAACACAGCTACTCATGAAACGGGCACACCACCAGGTTCCACGTCATCAATTCTTGGACCTCACAGTGACAGCATGATTTGTGCTGTAAGCAAAACCTCCTTGGAGTCTGTTTTTTCAGACAAACTTCATTCTAAATATGAAGTACAGCAGATTAAACATGAACCTCTTGCATCTGTAAGAATCAGTGAAGAACCTGTGAATGTTTATGTTCCTGAAAAGACTAGAGCACCGAATAATGTGGATGGCAAGAATGTTAAAGCAAAATTGGATCATGTTCAATTTACAGAATTTAAGATTGACGTGGACTCCAAATTTGAAAATAGCAACAAAGATTTAAAGGAAGAATTATGCCCTGGAAGTCTCATAAATCTAGTTGATACAAGGCAACATAGCTCAGCACATTCAAATCAAGATAGAAAAGATGATGACATTTTGTGCTAAATTTGTACATACCATTTAAAATCCTTTTTTAAAAACTTAATAATGTAATAAAGATTCATGAATACTGAAAGCAAGCCAAGGACTTGCTCCCAAGTCTGTTACAAAATATAGTTTATGTAGCTTTGTAACATTCCTCAGTGCCTGTCCATAACTGTGAAGTATCAAAGCACTTAGGGCCAGATGCACTGTAAACATTGCAGGTTTAAACAGAGTCTTTAAATAGTCATTTGAGTTGGAGTTGTAAGTTTTAGAATAGAGCTGACGTTAATATATATATATATATATATATATATATATATATATATATATATATATATATATATATATATATATATATATTAATATGAGCCAGAATTCTTTTGACAATTTAAGGCTTTTCCATAGAGCTTATTTATACCAGGTGGTTTTTTTTTGTTTTTTTTTCATTTTCAATGTGTCAGCACTGTAGTGTAAATAGCTTTAAAAAATTTTTAGTGTGATTTATACTGAAATGTGAGCCACTTAATAAAGGTTCATAATAATAAATGTTTTTTGTTGGGTCTGCAAAAAAGACAAACTGACAATTCAGTTAAATCATTTATTTGATCTATTTTGTGTCTGCTGGTATATCCATTTAGAGTGGTAAAGGAGTGCAAATGTACATATCCAAATCAGTGAATATTTAATTCCCCACATTGTGCAAGCATTTTTAAAACCAAGATTCAGTTTTAAAAGCATATTTATATATCTGTGTATGTATGGGAATATATATGTATATCATATTTTATATAACTTCTTAAATTGCTGAATGAGATGAATATGTGAAACTTCCTAGCCCTCCTCCCTGGAATACATTTAAAAATATTTATATTCAACATTAAGAAAGCAGTTTAAGTAATAGAAATCATTTTGTAAAGTTGGGAGAAACAAGGTCGGTTAACCCTCTAATTAATGAAGTTTTGTGTCCAGATTACATAGCCCTAACACAAATTTTCTTTGTAGTGTATGGAATAAAAAGTTGAAAAAATTTTCTAATAGGCACCTATCTGTACTTAATAATAGCTGAGTAAAAATCTTTAGTTACAGAAAGTTTAATTGTGAGCAGTTAAAATCCTTTTACATTTTTCTTGCAGAACAAGAGGAAAATATGGCAAATGTAAAATCCTAAAATAAGGGAGACTCAGCTGCCATATACAGAGATATATCTAACAAAATAAGATGTGTTACCTTATCTTTCTAAGGATCCCTCTCTCCCTTAGCAAGGTAGGTAACAGAATAGAGTTGACCCTTGAACAATGCGGGTTTGAACTGCACTGGGTCAATTGAAAAAATCAGTGTAAGTGGACCTGCACAGTTCAAACACTTATTCAAGGGTTACCTGTACTGCTTTTTCAAAAGAAGCTCTAGAAAGGAAAATTGGGGTAGGAAACAGGATTGCTAGCTAAAGACGATTAAAACAGATCTCTTCAATGATGGACTTCAGCCCTGTTTCAGACTGCTTCCACTACTGTAATTAAAAGTCAAACAAATGTCTTTAATGTATGCTTTGATATAAGGAACTCTGCTCATTGTGAATCTATTTTGTTTGTCTTTGTTATTTTTCTGGGCTTACACTTTGGTCGATGACTTTCAACTGAGATTCTTTGTGCTGCCGTTTGGACTAGAGTTGCTATTCCCATTTCAGTGGTTTCTGCTACAGCCTCACTTGTGGGACCCATACAACTGCTTATCTTTCTGGTTAGGGACAAGCCACTTAGGAAGAGACATTTCACCAGAAAAAATAAACTGTAGCAATGATGTCATTTCTGGCCCCCAGTTTGAAAGGGTAGACAAATATTGTAGGAAATCTTGATGGTTTTGTAGGAAATCACTGTATTTGCAGCATAGGAATTTTCATGGGATAAGGGAGGTATAAATCACGATAATGTAAATAGGGCCTTTGTTTTATATGTTACTGCTCTCCACCACTTTAGTCTTCTCTTTTAAGCTAAATGTATGTATTTGCACCTACTTTTTTGGGAGATGAAAGTTCAAAACCAGTATTGAGAAATAGGAGGGGATGTTTTTCTGGTTTTGTTTTTTTAATTGAAGGGTGATACATTTAACAAGATTTATTTTAGTTACAATTTCCAGTAGCATACACATAGCTACATGAGACCATACTGTAATAAAATATCTTTAGGGTGTCCCTCCAAAATATGAGCCTTAAATTTTTAAAGATATATGAAAAACATCAATAGTGGTTGCTTTTAGGTATAGTTATCTATATAACCTATAATCAAACTTTTCCATCTTTTGAAAATTTATTTTGTAAAATGCATACATCTCTTTGTCTTGAGGTGAAATATAAATCAATGAGTTCAGATTTCAAGATGCAGCCTTGTTACCTTGAATAATTTCTTGTCTTACGGGTTATAATTTTAAAATCCTCTTCAGATGCAGTATGAGAACTTGTTGACTATCTTTGTTACACCCAAATAATTTGTTTCAGTATTGCATTATATTAATGGTTTCCTAGTTAGTACATTCCAGTTCTTTATCTGAACACAAGTTTTTTGCTGTCATTTCCAATTTCTTGGACCAGAACAATAAAGAACATAAAATATAGTATCTATATAATCTTATACTATATAGAATTAACAGTTATGTAAATTATTAAATTGATATACAGACCTTTACAAAAAAGCTGAGGCACCTCAGTGGTGTCTGCTACAGTGCTTTTTAAAAAGTTACTTTTGTTCATACCCTTTTAGCTATCTAAGTAATACATATTTCATACTCAGGTTAGCTGGATAGCTAGCAAAAGAATTAAGTATTTGTGATAATTAGTTGAAAACTTTACAAAAGCCATATTCATTATCTTGTCACTAAGGCTGTTGACCTTCAATAAAGATTAGGTGATCTAGCAGAACACTGTGTGTGTGTGTGCATGTGTGTAAGATATTGGGAAAATACTGTGTTTCCACATATATTCATTTTTAATCCATTCTATAACTTGCGAGGGGGGGTCTTGGAGGGTAAGAAAGATTGTATTTCTTGGGTTTATCTTCACTGAGTGAAGTGTTTGAGTGTGAAAGTTTTTTTTTCTCGAACACATGGCAGGTAAGTATTTTTGTAAATAATAGATTAGCACTATTTTCATAAATTTGCAGTTATTTTTTTGACAAGTTCATTGTCATGTAAAGCAAGTATCTCAAAATTCATTTTACATTTAGCAAGGGTGCAAGATTTGTTATTTTTTGAAGATGAAAGTTTTCCTTGTCTTCCACCTTTCAATAAGTACTAAAATTGATAATCATAACTTTTTTACCTTTGTTTTGTAATTATTTTCTTACATTTGACATTTCAGTTTTATCTCGTCATCTTTAGTTCTTCTTTCTCTGTCTTCAGCAGAAGCCATAGGTCTTGAAAGTGATTCCAATCTGAAAAGCTTTTTTCTTAACTAATTATCAAAAGTTGACATGCCAACATAGAATATTGAGGATTACTTTAAACAAGTCACAAGTTAGGTATGCATGCTGGGATGGCATGGTAAATCACCTCCCTTCCTTGTAGACATGACTATTTCTGTCTCAGGAGGGGAGGACAAATTGTTTTCAAAATACTTTCAGGCTGGTAAAAAGTGATATGAAGGATTTTAGATCTTCACAGTTATAGAATAGCAATCTCTTCCACCTGATGTAACTACTTTGATATGTAAACACAATTTTACTGGTTTTAGAATGTGCTGTATTTCATGAAAGATACGTTTGATATGTTTGGCAGTGACAGTATACCTCAGATAGATAATTAAGAGAACGATTCATGAGAGGTATATAAATCCCTTTATTTCTGTCCTGGCTTTCTGTTTCATTCTTCCTGTAACTGCATATTGCAGATGGAAATGATCTGTTTTTAGAATGTCAAGGACAAGGAGCTTAAAAGCAGAAATATCTTTTTAAATTTACAGGCATTGTAAATCATATCTAATGGGACAGCAGAGGAAGGAGAAGAAAACATCGTGAATTTCAGCTTGTCTTCCCAGGACATCATACCCAATTAGGGAATGTGAATGAGCTGTGAACAAAATGTGGGCAAATAGAATTCATGTTAACTAGAAATTCAAGGTAAAATTTACTAGTTGTATGTTTTATTACTATTATAATAGTGCCTTCCAAGAACTGCGCTATTATGAAACATTGTACACATTCTGAAATTTAGAATTTATGCGTCCATGTTTTTAAAATGTTAAGTCTACACTTTTCTACAAAGCTCATTGCTGTTGTACTACTCAAGACTACTAAGTGTGCAGACTCCGAGTCAAGTCAATGTAGTTGCAAATATTTTGAGTAATACAGGGTTCATAATTTTATTTAGACAGACAGTTTGATCCCCGCTCAAATTTCTTTCCTTGAAATGTTTTTAACTGAGCCAGATTTTTATGTGAAAAATCTCAGGTCTGTATTTAAAAAAAACAAACCCTTCTCTCAAGTGTGGCTTTTGTTTGTGCTCTTGTTCCATCTCTCTTCCTGATTGACAGAGTTCTTAGAAACCTCTGTCTGCCTTCACTTCCTCATTTCACTAGTTTAATTTAATCCTCAAATTTAATCCCTCAGCTGAAATGGTTCTCTCAAAGGTCACCATTTGAGTGCCAAATCCAGGGGCTGCATTTCTTAACTGTTTAACCCTTGCAGCACTTGTTATCAGTCATTTACTTCTTAATACTCTATATGACCTGTTCTTTTTTGTTGTTTTTCCTTTTTTTTTGGATGGCTTTTGCCTGTCCACGACTATTTAAAGCAGTCTCCATGGTTCTTTCCTTTTAGGTCTCCACACTCAGTCCAAAAAGTGTTTTCATAACCCCATGACTTTAGTCAGCCTTGGTTTCTCACTTAAGCTCTAATGATCCTTGTAATCAAATCTAGTCTCTCTTGCCCCCAAGCATTAGCTGTTCTTTTTTCTCCTAATTTGGTTATTGGCATCACTATCTCTACATAGTCATCCTATAGTAATCTGATTTATCATTTTCCCCTGTGGACAATGTATCATAAGATTTTGTTGAGTTGCCCCCAGAAATGTTTATAATTTGTCTATTGTTATCAGTAGATGTTCAGTCATTGTAGATGTTCATCTTACTTGGACTTTTAAGAAAGGCTAATACGTTTTAGGCTGCCTGCAGTTCTTTGCCCTTACCCCCATTCCAATCCATTAAAAAAAAATAGTTGACATATATTTGTTTCAGGTGTACAACAGTGACTCAACATTTACATACCTTACAAACTGATTACCACAGTAACCATCTGTCACCTCAATCCATTCTTGATGTTACCACTAGATTAACCTTCCTCAAATAGATACGATTGTTACTCTTCTGCTTAGAAATACTCAGTGGCTCCTTTCCTGCAGAAAAGGCCTAATGGCTCAGCATAGCACTGAAGAGCCTTCATGATCCGGCCCTTCCTTTCCAGCTTTGTCTACCACAATCTCTCCATTTTTTTTTTTTTTTTAACTGAGCCATCCTTCCACCTGTTGGCAGCTCAGCGGCAACTCAGCTCAGGCCAGGAATCGAACAGTCTCTCCATTTGATGGGCCCAATTTTTGGCTTTACCAGATGACAGTACTTACCATTCTGTTTGTGCACTTTTAAAATTCATTGCCTTTGCTGGGGAAATCTCTGCCAGGAATACAGCATAGAGAAATCTCATTTTAAAACTCCAGTTAAACATCATCTCTTCTGTGTATCTTTTACCGATACTCCCAACTGTCCCCTCACCCCACAACGGGTGTAGAGCCAATTCTTCCCTCTGCATCTGGCATCCCTTTGTTCACATCATTTACCAAACGTATTAGTTAAGGACATGTTGGGTTCTAGCTAAACCATGAGCTAGACATTGCAAATTTTCTTCAGACCTTTGTATCCCCCAAACTTAATATATAGTACACTTGTTCCATAAATACTTGAAGGAACAAAAGTTGAACCTTAACTTCACAGGGGGTAGGAAAATTATGTAGGTTTCTGTAGTTTAAAAAATTGGATCAGTAGGCCCTATAAAGAAGCCTAATTTCTATTTTGTACTTACTCCAGCCTTATGGATACAGTTTAAGAAGATAACCTATTCGATATCTAAGCCCATTGGACAATGTGTAGATAGTATTGTAAAAATAAACCTGTAAAACTTACCCAACTTTTTATCCCTTCCACTAGAGATACACTGAAAATTACAAATTAAGGATAAAATTTATACCTAAAGTGATTAAAATGGCAAATAAATAAGAAGCACCTTAATATCTCATAATCTGAAGCAGAATTTATTCCTAAATCTATATGGCAAGATAAAGTGGTTATCTGGTTAACAGATAGGTATTGATTAAGCTTATATGGTTCTCCCTATTGATATAAACAACACAAATTGAAAATATTGAAGATGATGATAACATGCAGTGGTTGTTTTAGTCTATAGTATCTATTCTGTTGCAGGAATGGGACAAGGACTTATTAAAGGTGGCACTTTTTCAGACATCCTCCTGTAAAGCCCCTTCACTGGGGTGTTATGCTGAGGGCATTTGTAGCAGTATAGCTGTGGGTCATTAAAGGGGAACAATACATAATGCTGAGAAAATACTTACCTTAGTCTGTATTTCTCATATGTAAAGTGGGGTGTAACACCTATTCTGTTAATTGGTGGTGAAAATGAAATGATAGAACATGCCAAATGTTTACTTAGCACATTGCTTGGCATATCATAGACACTACAAATGTCAGCTTCTAATCCAGGAATTAACAGTAAAAACAATAGAGAGCTATGTGCTGGGTCACCCTATTCCTTTCACCTCTTCCACACTGTCTTCTATATATTCCTCTCTCTAATTTTGGGCAGAGGATAGGCATCAGGGAAGAGGAAAAAGTTTCATCAAGGGTCAAGGTGAGGTATGGTGGAGGTAGGTGGACATCAGGGACGAACTTCCTAGTTCACTATTGCAGGGCTAGCAATTCAAAATCATGTCACAGACTGCCTTTTCTTGATATAAACAAATTATAAATTTATATTGTATAGATGAAAGTGGAATTAATTTTACTTTGTGGTATAAGATTCCAATATGATTTAGCTAAACTTGAATACAGGGCAAGCAAAATGAGAATAAAACATTTAATATGTAAGGTAGATCCCTCTCATAAAAGATTTTAATCAAGTGTTTAGCATTTGATAACTGGTATCTTCTGTAGATGCTTTCTATTTTTGTTTTTCTTCAGTAGGAAATCTGTTGGTGGAAATAGCATTTGAAGTTAAACTTCTCCGTTTATCGATGACCATGGGTTAATTTCATTTATCTAGTCTTTAGTTTCTTCATCATTATAATTAGTTTTTTTTTCCTTGGCTCTAACATTCTATAATCCCTGTGTACCTTCACTGTCTATGCCATGAATTAATTATAAGAACACCAATAATACTTTGAGAAAGAGTGATGTTTACTGTGCAAACAACCAATCAAGATTAAAGGAAACTCCTTTGGTAATTTGTGTCTTGTTTTGTAATACTAAAAGGACTCTGATAATTTTCCTAAGAGAAATAACTTTATTTTGATGACACAGGTACATGGTAATATGCTTGCCCCTACATGAAAAATGGTTCTATGGTTTCCTCTCCTTTTTTGGCCACCACTTCTGTTCATTAGTCAACATCAGTTCCTCTACTTATTTGCCGCACGGTGAAAAAGCAAAGTGGAAAGCAGGTGACCATATTTGTAAGGTTAATAACTTAAAATTAAGCTTTAGTTAATCTGGTTACTAAATATCTATTTAGCTATTTACTATTTTCTACTTTTCATATTTTCAAGCGTTAGAAAAAGTTACTTTGTTCACACGTTGCTTTTATTCAGAATTTTTGCCCAACAGATTAAGTTACTTCTTGTCCATGCTGACCTGAAAAATAATGGCTTCACTAGGAAACTTTCATTTTTCAAGTTTCTTTCTTAAGGCAGAGTGTTAGTTCTTTTCACAGTTAGTAAAAATCTCTGTATTATAAAAGAAGTATCCTATAACTAAAAACAAACCTAGGAAGGTATTTTTCTACAATACTGTTTATGTATTATTCCACTAGTTTTGCTGTTTATATCTGTGAGCATGATTTCTATCTTTTAAGTCTTTCATTACTTAATGTTTTAAATGTATCCCAATTACTGAGGCTGTGAAATTGTTATTTATAATAAGAAATATATCTGGTCTTCATCCCCATTCCTGGCGCAGGAATTTAACACCCTTGGAATTTCCTAAGTGATAAATTTGATAAAGGTGTCTTTTGAACTTATGTTAAAGAGGTGACTTGGAAAGCTCCTAGGTAACCTAAGGATGGGAGCTGGTTGCTAGGGGAACCAACCCTGTGATTAAAGGATTGTTAAACTTTTCAATACCCTCCTTCACCTCCTAAGGTAGAGGGGCTAGAGACTGAGTTCATTCACCAATGGCCAGTGATTTTACAAATGACTGTAGTCAAGTCTCCATAAAATCCCTAAAGGACAGGGTTCGGAGAGCTTCCAAGGTGGTGAACACAAGATGGGAGACGAGTGGTCATCCAGAGCACGGACGCTCCATGCCCCTTCCCCATACCTTGCCCTGTGCATCTCTTCCATGTGGCTGTTCCCCTTATGTCCTTTTATAATAAACTGATAATCTAGTAAAATGTTTCTCTGAGTTCTGTGAGATGCTCTAGCAAATTAACTTGAGGAGGGGGTCATGAGAACCTCCAGATCTATAGCCAGAGTACAGGTGACAACCTGGATGTGCCATTAGCATCCTAAGTTGGGGTGGGAATTAGACTTCTGGGACTGAACCCTTAACCTGTGCTTGTGATGCTACCTCCTGGTATATATAGTCAGAACTGAGTTAATTTCTTGGTGGTGTGGGGAAAAACACACATCTGAATTGGTGTCACACAGAGGCACACATCAATAATTTAGTACAGCTTCAAGTTGTTTATTTAGTGTGGCATATACCAAATTGAGTAAGAAAAGAGCTCTCCTTTCTGGGAACCTTTCAGATACTATTACAAGTGATTGAGCCTCACATGTAAACAGGTTGGTTATTCTGTTGCCTTTTACGTACAATTCTTACCCAATTTTCCTTTTAGCAATCTCAGAATTTCTGCATTTGCTTGTTTTAGGACCTAGCTCAGGGGTCAGCAAACTACTGCCCACCACCCTTATCTTTTTTTTTTTTGGTAGGGACTGTAAGGTAAGAATGAGTTTTAAATGGTTGAAACAAAAATCAAAAGAATGTTGTGTCATATGAAATTTATGTCATTGTCCATAAAGTTTTATTGGAACATAACCATGGTCTATGGCTGCTTTCTCACCACAAGACCTGAGTTACTCGAGTAGTTGCGATGGAAAGCTTAAAATATTTACTATATAGTCCTTTACAGAAAAATTTTGCTGATTCCTGGCCTAGTTGACTGCATATGGGCTGTCCCTTCTCTTTTCCCTGTGAGATTATATACTTAGATAATACTTACATGAATACAGCTTTTACTGAACTAAAAAATCATGACTGGTTTCTCAGAGATGAAAGCTTTCTTTTACTTTGACTATCTAATCATAGACTCTGGAGACCAAATAGTTTGGGTCTCTCAATCAAATTAGGAATATCTGATCAAGTCTGGAATGTTGTGTTCCCCATATTAACTATTCTTCTCAATTCTGTTTTTAGATACCCAAAATACTTATACCAATTATATGACAGGAAAACATGTAATTGATCAATTTTTATTGTTTAGCCTAGTTCTATAGTTTCAAACGGAGTTAAGCTGTATTAACTTGTGGTGGTATGGCTGGAACTTTGTCAGGTTATCTATCTGTCTTAATAGGAGAACTAGACCAAATGTTATATTCAAGTAATCCTCTCAAGAATTAGCAGTCAGGAATCACTTTGTTTGTTAGGTATTTTTAAAATGAACAAAATACTTAGATTCGTCCCAAAGCTAAAAGTGAAGGCTGTATAGGGCAAGAACAATTGCCCTGCTTTAGGGTGGTAAGGCATGTAAGCATCTTTGGAATTCTTGTGATTACTGCTACCTATGCTTCACTGGAATTGGCTGGGAACCTTGGAAGGGTGATCTGTAATTTCTCAAGTCAGGACACTTCCAAGAGTGAAAGGGCACTAACTCCCTGAGACCCCAGGATAAGAGGCATAAACGGGGCCTGCTCTGACCTACCCAAGGTGTGTGGACCCCCTAACTTTCAAAAGAGACAAGCTTCTGCTGTTTCAATATGCCACCTCTAATTCATTTGTCCCAAACATAAGGCAGAAGTAACAAAGAGCTTAGATAAAAATCTGTCAAACTCTCAGATGAAGTAACACCCTTAACTATTTTCAGTAGTTTTTTTCCTTCATAATTATTTAGAAGCACAAATAACCATTTACTTTTGTTGTAATGGGGCCATGATGTATTAAACTTCTACTCAAATATGTAGATTAAAAGGTTCATATTTTAAATATAACAGATTACAACATATTATTTAATACTTATAACAGATTATTTAATAGTCAAGCAGAAATATAAGGTCCAAAACAAACTTTATTTAAATAGGGATAATAAGGATGTTAATAACTCAAATATTGAATAATTAAACTTTGGGTTGATTCACCAAGACTATTTTATGGAAGCAGTATAAAACTACATTTGGTATTTTGCTCAGTTTTCTGGTATTCTTCAAGCTTGCAAAGATTCAGAATACTTTAATGACAGCTTGTTGAACAGCAGTAAAATGAGATGATGTCCTTAGAAGTCAGTCTCTCACAAAAAAGACGTTATAGCCAAGTTCTAATAAAGCCCCAGCCAGTAAGGCCCACAAAGGAATGAAGACATAGGACAGGTTCATGGTAGTAAACTGTTCCAGTTTAGCACAGAGTGCAAGGCAGAAGGCTAATTTAAGTAACATTGCAATGAGGTACCAGGCTTTTTTTTTAATATTGTGGGATCCATGTCGAGGGTCAAAGCCAGACTTACATCGCCCAGCCATTTTCACAATCAGCATGACAAGAAGAATAGTATCAAATATCCAGACTGGAATAAATATGAGGAACCAGTTCCAAGGTGCTTTCTCATCCAGTTTCAACACCAACATGATCAAGAAGAGTAATGTGAAAAGCCAGGTGAGTAGTACTCTCTGAGCCAAGGACATTCTCATTTAAACAGTTTAAAGAGGCTGTTGCAGAGTCGAAAAATGGGAAATGTACCCTAAGAGAAGGAAAAAAAGTCAAGATTGTTTTGCTACCAGAAAAAAAAATCACTTCCATTCCTGGTAAACAAAGCTGGCTCTTTCCCACTCATAGATTTCCTAATTTTGAAAACATTCTACCATTCTTCCTTTCAAAACCTGCAAGATTTGTAGCCCTCTTTAACAACATTATACTCATTATTCCTTTTAGCTCATGACAAAATACAGTGTTTTAGTACACCCACTGGCTATAAGCTCTATTGAAAATGTCTCAGGAATAGTCTTCCTTTTCACAGCTATCACTTAAGTCCAGGTACTCATGACTTTATTCCTGCACCTCAGGGATGTTCTTAACCTCTTTGTATATTTGCACACCTACTTCATTCAGTTTCAAGGAGTACTAAGAAAAAGCATCCAAAATCAAAGTAGTGAAAAAGGAGGAGGTGGTATCAAGCCAAGAAAGGAGAGTTTTAGTAAGCAGGGAGTGAATGGTTAATAAAAATTAAGACATTAAGGAGAATTAAGATTGTAAAGAGGTCACTGGGCTAATATAGAACACATTGATAATACTGTATTTTCCCATAGTTCAATATATGGGTCTTAGATTCTTAAGTTAAATTTTTTCATTTAAATTCTTTTTTTTTTAATAGCTTTTATTGGGGAATCGGGAGGGGAATGACAAGTTGCTGTCCTTTTGTTCTTCAGTCTAGTTATGGAGGACGTTGCTTCAATGGCCCTTGTTGGTATTATCATTGTGCTCTTCCCGGGTGAGGCAGATCGGTCGCCGGCCACTGGACAGCCGCTCACGGCGGCTCTTGGCAGCTCTCACCTGCTGCCGGCCGCTCACACTGGCTGCTGGCCACTCACGGTAGCTTATGGTAGCCCACTGCAGCCTCACTTCAGCCTAAGCCATCATCAGCGACTCATGGCAGCCCAGCTCCAGGTCGAGCTGTTGTTCACCATTTTAGCTGCAGAGGGCGCAGCATCACTGGCCCTAATGTGGGATCCGAACCGGGGCCCTGCTGCTCAGAGCTGGTGTCCCAAAGCCAACGCTTAACCTATGCGCCACTCAGCCGGCCCTCATTTAAATTCTTATACCCATTTTCGTCCAACAATTTTTTTCCTTTTGGTTTCTGGTATAGATTATGATTTTTTTAACTACTTTTCAATAATCAAGACCACTTAATAAACTTCTGACATTTTGTGATTATTACATGCTAAGTTATTCAATAATTGGGGCTATTTCTTATATCCCTGTTCTGTCTTACTAATCTATATTTCTGTTTTGCACTAATACTATATGACTGGATATATTCTAATATCTGGAAGGCCTAATACCTACTCACTGTTTTGTTTTCCAGAATATTTTCTATTTGTCCTTTCATTGTTCTCATTAATTTTTAAACAGTTTTGACTGGGAATGCATTAGTCTAATACTAGATATAAGCACTTATTTAATCTTCACATATATGTTTATAGTATATTCTATACTTACTCAAGTTTTTTATATCAACCTTGTTAGCATTTGGAAAAAGGGCAAGTAGACTAGGAACTCAGAAGCCAGACTGCATGCAGTTGGATGAGGAGTTAACAGAAGATAACACCAGCTGACAACATTTTATCCCCCTTGAAGCATTTGGAGAAGATGAAAGATAAGACATAATGAGACTGAGAAAGAGTCAAGAAGAAATTTTCAGTAAAGGAGGAATTAAGTATGATTATGAACTGAGGGATATAAGCCACTGGGCAGTGATAGAATGAAGATGAGAGAGGACACCTGATGGAAAGAGAAGATTAGGAAGTGGTTGTGATGTTAACAAAAGCATGAGTGGTAGAAATAAAAATGCAGAAACTTAAGAAAAAAGGAAAAGGTGAAGAAACTGGGTAGATGAATCAAATGCCCTAGACTAGCGTGTTTAATAAATTACATTGTAGAACTAACTTTGCTGTTCTCTACTAAACAGTGGGTGGCTACCATGGTGCAGGAGTATATCTGTTTTATTTCAATAGTGACTTACGAGTTATCTAACTGTGCTCCTTCCCCTTATACTCATCTGCTTGCATTCAACTTGTTTACTTAGCTGGCAGATACTTCATACTGCAGTAGGAAAAGCAGATGCTTTTGCTCCCAGTAAGGCATTTTCTGTGCTGGTCTCCTTTCCTGGCCAGAGGCTGACATAGTGGGATGTGGGACTGAACTTGGAAGAAAAGGTGGGGATGGGTATGTACTGATTAATATTGTAACTACAGATAAATTTAATTCTGTAGGTTAAATTTACTCAATCCCAGTCTCCGATCTATCTGGCCATTTTGTGAACCTTTAAAAAGTTTACAGGGCCGGCCAAGTGGCGCGTTGGTTAAGAGCTGGCTTGGGACGCCAGAGGGCCCCAGTTCGGATCCCACATATGAGGGCCAGTGACACTGCCCTCCACAGCTAAGATGCTGAACAACAGCTCAACCTGGAGCTGGGCTGCTATGAGTCGTGGGTGAAGGCTAGGTTGCAGCCCCTACTGCAGTGGGTTGCCATGGGCTACCATGTGCAGCCAGCAGCCAGTGTGAGCGGCCAAGAGCCACCGTGAGCGGCTGTCCAGAAGCCTGCGACTGATCTGCCTTGCCGGGGAAGAGTGCAATGTTGGTGCCAACTTGGGCCAGTGAAGCAACGTCCTCCACAACTAGACTGAAGAACAAAAGGACAGCAACTTGTCTGTTCCCCTTCCTCCAATTCCTCAGCGCTGTTCCCATCCCACAATTCCCCAATAAAAATCTTAAAAAAAAAGTTTACAATAAAAAAAGTTTACAATAATATTCTTGCTTTATACATAACTTTTCCATCAGTCATTCAGTCACTGGATGAACCAAGCTTTATTTTTTTCTCAGATAGGACTGAGTAGCAATTAGTCATAGGAAGGGTAGCTGCACTCAACACAGGTACTTAAGGACTGGAGGTGGAAATGATGCAAAGAACAGTCTGGCTACAAGTTTTATAATGTGGGATGCCACAGTTGTATGCATTTGTACTAAAATGGCCTCAACACTGCTGATATTGAAATGACGCTTGAAGGATTGTGGGTGCCGAGCTAAAATGATTACACATGACCCCAGGTTTATTAATTTAATGAATCATTAATTTAAGCGATTGCATTTGTTTCCTACCACTACTCTCTCCTCAAAGGAGGGGGTTGCATCCTCTGAAACAAAAATCTGCTCAACTTAACTATTTTCCAGTCGAGGTGGTTATTTCTGGTACCTCGAAGATAGTTAAGTATCAGTTCATATGCTTCCTTATCCATTGTTGAAACTTTGTGTTGCCCCCAAATGGAAAAATAAGGGGACCTGCCCAACAGCTTCAGCGTCTCGGTGTCAGTTGTGTGTAGACTCCATTTGTCCATGGGGCTTCCCACACCACCACCCCTTTTCCTTCTCTCGCTGCTGCCGGTACTCTTTCAAGTGAATTCGCCTCATGTGAAAGGCAGTTGTGCTTAATGAGCCCACAACACAGAATTTCTCTAAATAAGGAAGGGGTCGCTTTCGAAAGGCCCCTGCTGCTACAGCCTGGGCCAACTTAAATATCCTTCAAAGAAACAGCGTTCTGTTTACAACTTATCTGATTTTCGGACCTACTCGTCCCTAGAACTTCAGGACATTCCTAAACTCTCTTTGCCTTCCGACTTCAAACGGCGAGGGTCGGCCTTATCAGGAACCCCTCTCCCCCCATTCTGCGCTGTGGGCCCAGTACATTTTTGGAGTTAAACGCGGTTCCTGCACGACAGGATCCACAATGCACACAGAAGCCTGGTGCCAAGCAGGTGTACGTGCGCTTTGCGCCGCCGGGAGGTTGAGGGGGTGGGGGGCGGCGGCACAGCCCACGGAGGCATCCGGAGGCCAGTGCCGGGGCACTAGGGGGCGAGTGCACTTCGCGGGGAGTGCGGGGGGGGATGCCGGCCCGTCGGAGCCCCGGACTCACCTAGCAGCGCCACTGGCCGGATAGCGGAGAGGGGCGCGAAGATCAGGAAATACGCCAGTTCGGATCCTCGGCTTATTCCACACTTTTTCCCCCATTAAAGCCAAAACCCGTCACATGATAATCAAGAAAAAGATCTCAGTTCCGCCTCTCCAAACGACCGCGGTAGAGGTTTTCTCACTTCTACCTCAGGGCCGCGCCCATATCCGGGGCAGGTTCTCACCGCCCCTGGGTCTACCCTATAGGTAGAGAGGACGCCAATCTGGTTTCAGAGGCTTCTATCCCTGCGTTAATTGGACCATTTGGCCGCCAGTGCAAACCAACCGACCTTTCCTTATGTTCGGGTTTGCGAAAAGGGCGGCAATAAAAGAAGCCAGTTGCCCCGCCTCTCTATTGCTACGGGATAGAAGGAAAGTCAGTCAAAGTACAGCCTGGAATGTCCATGGTCTTATTGGGCCCGCAAATGCCAATCAGACCAGCCAGCGCTCGGACCCGCCCCCGCGAGGCGCCCCGCCTCTCCTCTCGCCCTCTGCCAGCGCGCGGAGACTGCAGGCTCTGGCGAAAAATCCTGCGGGAGAGGGGGTGGGGCGACGGCTGTGGAGGCAGCGCGGCCGCTCGCAGTCTCGTTGTGACTCCTAGTTCTCCCGCGGCGGCGGCGTTGCTCGCTTCGGTGTCTCCCGCGCACTCCAGCCGCCTCCTAGCGGCGCGGCGCCGGCTTCTATGGTAAGAGCCGGCATCACCTTCGTGCTTGGGAGGGCCGTGTGGAGGTCGTTGGGTTCTGACAGAATCCCGAGGATGGAGCAGAACCAGGGAGGAGAGCGGCGGGCGGGATGGAGGTGGGGGCTCCGGGACCAACGCATCGCCCTCTATCGCCGGTGACTTCCCCGGCAGCCGCTGGCACCTGCGCCTCGGCGTCAACCGCGGTCCCCTCCCATCATTTGGCGGGTGGCAGAGGCTCAGCCGCCCTCCGAAGCCATCGCAGTCTTGGATCCTTGATGGTGAGGGGCGGAAGCCCAGCGCTGCCTCGCGTCCCTCCGCCCCCTCCCGCGGCCCCTCTGCTCTCTTCCTTCCCTTGGCGCTGTGCTGGGGGTGCGTCGGGTCCTGGAGGGCGTGCAGGGGCATCGGGTGGCTGAGCCCAGGCTGGCGAGGAGAGGGCAGCTAGCGGCCAGAGAAGCGGGCTCGGGAGGAGGGGACGATTCCGCGCGCTGGAAGCGGGCTTGAGGGAGGGTCGCTGCCCTGCACCCACTGAGCAGGCAACAGTTTGGTTTTCTGATTCCTGCACTGACTGCGAAGCGGGTGCTGAAATCCTTCGCACCGGCGTCAAGGGTTATTTCTCGTCTGCAGACGATAGCGCGGTCTATCTAGCGTGCTTCACCTTTTCTTATTTTTATCTGCCTGATATTGACAGCCAGTGTTCTGATATTGTTCCTTCTAGGCGTGGCTTTCTAACTCAGCACCTCCTGTTTAACTTCGGGGCTCATTCTGCCACTCATCGATCACCCTTATTAGTTTTAGCCTGGCAAGAAAAAAAAAGGAACTGCTTTATATCAACATAAACTGACTAGGGAAGTACAGAGTCAGGAACAATGTATTAATCTCGGTATCTACATACCAAACAATTTTTAAGTTCATGTGAATATATTAAATAATTTGTAATTTACACTTATTGTCTTTGTTAATGGTATATCCTTCCTACTTTGAGTTTTTTTGTTATTCGTGGTACTTTGATTTTAAAGTTTTGGTTAGCTTTAGCCAACTAGACATTGTAAGATTCTTCTTTTTTTCTCTAAGACTTTGGCAGTAGCCTTAGTATTTGCTCTTGTTTTCAGGGATTGTATATATATTTTTAATTGTTTTCTCCTAAACTAGACTTAATAACATTTTTTAAGTTGGGAGGGGGAATTCTGAGAATTTCGAAATTATGCACTTTAGCCTAGGGAGCCTTAAAATAGCATGACAATTTCAAATCCTTTTTGTAGTAAGGGTTGCTGAGTTTAAGAGAAGGAAAATGGGTGTCCCCTGTCAGTTATAGTGGCTCAGCCTCCAGATTCCAGAGGAAAGGAATATGAGGTCTGGGGAAAATGAGCCATGCCTGAGACTAGACACAGAAAAGTTTCTTGCTGGGGAAATACCCTGCCTCACACACAGGTTAGTTGTCTGTGGGCATCAGATAGCATTAAGGTAAGAAGTATCTGTGTTCTAATTTTCACCACTTCCTGGTAGGAATGAAAATGTGGTAAGCAAATCAAGTATAGTGTTCAAGTGGGGCCACTCTTGAATGGTTAAGCCTCCAAGAGTAAACTTTTTTGAGTCCACACTGGCACTGGACAGTTGGCCCTAAAAATCAAGTAGGTGGCCTAAGCAGTTTTTAAACCATGAACCTTTTTGGCTAGCCCATTTAATGCAGAATTGCAAGGAAGTTGTAACGTAAAATGCTTCACTAGACTAAGGCGAAGAAAATTCAGGATGGCATGTCAAAAAAAAATGAGGATCAAAAAATAGTTGGATTGCTTATAAATTTATTACCTCATCTAATCCTTATAATCCTGTGTTGTAGGTACTGTGATTACTGTTGTCCCTATTTTATAGATGAGTTAGCCAATACTTAGGCTAATTTTTGTTCAAGATTTCCCAGATAATAATTTAGTGGATTTGGGAGTCACATCTAAGCAACCTGATTATCAAGCCTACATTCCAAGTTATTTGCTTTACCACCACGATAAAAGTGACTTCTTAGAGACTTGGTAGAAGGAGACTAATAAATGGAAAATAATGTTGCAAAACCATAAACTAAATAACAGTATTGCATATATTCAGTAATACTTTAATATCACTGTATAATAGGTGCTGTTGAGTGTTGCTGGGGATATAAATATGGACTCATCTTCCCTGTCTTTGAGGAACTTTCGTTTAGTGGGAGACACAGATATTTAAACAAATAATAATAATATATACTATAAGAGAGTGCTATAGTGTGTGGTTTCATGGAAAGAGAATTCAATTAAAGTTGAGACAGACCTGCATTTGAATTCCTGTTTGGCTTTGTGACCTTAAACATGATACCAAACCTTTTTCAGCTTCAGTTTCCTTATCTGTTAAGTAGAGAAGATAATACTTCCAAGGGGATTACTAATCATTAAACAAAATATGTAAAGTACTGGCACATTGGTATGACCTGAATAAAGAAGAAAAAACTAATAATTTTAAGATAGAATAGAGAAGGGGTTTGGGGCTTAGCAGGGAGCTATCACTAGAGCCTAAAAGAGTAAGTGGTAGTTTTCATTGGTAGGGAATGAGAGTATTTTACAAATTTAGAACAGGAGGCAGGGTCTCAGAACAGGAATATGGATGGTTGAAGGAATGGCAAGTAATTGTAGCTTTGCATAAAAACTATTTGTGAATGCCAAATTTAAATGGTAATTGTATATAAGTGTGGCTGAGTAGTTAGTACTATCCAATTTTGGTGGTTGAAAATTACATACATAGATACCAAAATTATAGGAAAACCTCAACAGTTTGTGCATTGTTATATTTTTATTGTTTACCTTTTAATATTTATTTTCCCCAGTGTCAATTAAAACTTTATTTCCAAACTGTCCAGCTAAGCAACTATTTCATTATTTTATTGTGATATTTCATTCTAAGCTGTAAAAGAAGACTAATATCACTGGAGGCATTTGCACTTAATGTGTGGAATGTAGTTTGGGATTATTTTAAAAAGAAGAAGAATCTTTAAAAAAAAAAGAGAGAGAAAAGAAGAAATATCTAAAAATGACTGTTGGCTTCCCTTAGCCCCTTTATCTAGCCTGTAGCCACATAGACTCGATATTTCAAAGTACCCTTTGCACATATCTTGACTGTCTTTTCTGAACCCAAACTTGAGACATGACAGTAGGGCAGAATGTTTTTCTTGGATATCCTTGAAAATCCAAGAAAATTCCCAAGCTTATAACTGCCTCTCAGGTTAGCACAAAATCATAAATACTCACATTGGATTTGTAAATGTGGATCACTTGATGACCAGAATCATATGACTAAGTTGAAAATATTAAATGACATTTAGGAAAGCTGCATTTTTAGTCCAACTCATTTGCCTTATACAAATTGCTAAAATGATAGGAAATATAGAGGTAAGTTTTCAGATGAGAAAAAACAACTGCTTCCCAGAACAGGTAGTTTTAGGAAAGAAAATTGCTGAACTTCATTCTGAATCATGAACAGGAACTGGGGCAGGAAATGGCTGTGGCTGAACCACTACCTGATAATAATCATAACATGATTAAATTTGACATTTAATGAGAGGAAGTAAAGGGGGAAAAAGTGCACTGTATGCAGCTTTCCAGTTTTAGAAATAGTAGGGGAAAGAGGCCGTTAAAAATCTATCCACAGATTAAAAAAAAAATTCACAGAAATATTGAAGACATGTAGTAGGCACTTATATATGTTGCATGAATGAAAGCACCTTAGTAAAACATTCAGTAAAAGTTCTGTAAGGGCTGGCCAGGTGGCTCAGTTGGTTAAGAACTTGCTCAAGAATGCAAGCTGTGAGCAACAGGGTCACTGATTCAATTCCTGGCCTGACCTGGTTCAATTCCTGGCCTGAGTTGAGCAAAGTTCTATAACAAATAGTAAAAAAACTTATGTGGCACACGGGTTTTGATGCTCTGTAGACCTAGGTTCAATGCTGAATTCTACAGTCTACCAGTTGTGTGACTTTGGGCTCATTATGTAATCTTTTTAGGTCTAGTTTTCTTTAATCATAAACTGGAGATAGCTACTTTGCAAGATTTTGAAAATTAAGTGCGCTAATGTATGGAAAGCACTTGACACATTGCCTGGCTTATAAGACTTGCTCCAAAAATTGTTGCTGCAATTATTTGACTATGTTGAACAGATAGGTAGATAGATAGATAGATAGATAGATAGATAGATAGATAGATAGATAGATAGATAGATAGATAGATTTAAGTACAATTTCAAATACAGTAAAGAAAGCCAGAAAATGGCAGACAAATAAAAGCTTAAAAGAAGGCAATCGGATGTTATATAGGTGACAGGTAGAGTTGAATAAAGAATCAATTCATTGCAGCCACATACAAAAGAGAAAAGATAGAGAGCTTCACATTCTCAGATTTTTTTCTGAATAAAGTAGGTCAGACTCATTAAACCAGATAGAGTAAATAAATAGGGTTTTGCTATTCTAAATGATAACAAAAAGATCACAGAAATTGGGTCTCTTAAACTGTAAATTAAGTATAGGGAAAGGGACTTACTTTCTTAAATCTCTTAGCCACTTTCTTATCCCTAAAATTCTTTTAACAGAGAAAATCCATTCATATTACAGTTAGAAAGAAGGCTTTAATTGTGAGTAACCCTGGGATATAGCATGTTAATTTAACTACACAGGTTTTCCAGGTGTTGATTCCATATATCCCATTGCCTACTATGTATCTTTTGGGCACTGAATGTCTAAAGGTGCCCTAAGAATATGTTGAAAATAAACATACCTTCTTGTTCCCAAAGCTGTTGCTCTTGTGTTCTCTGTCCTAAGGAATGGTTCTGGTCTTCAAGCCAAGAATCATGGAGCATCTTTAATTCTTTTACTTTTACTCCCCATATCTTTTATGTCTAGTCGATCATTACATCTGGCTATTCTCTCTACTAGTTATCTATCTTTTAATGTCTGTCCCAACACCCACTCCAATTAAAAAAAAATCCTCATT